AAACATGTAGTAGTGTATATTTCCATGTGTATATTTCCATGTTCTAGTAGAAGATTCATTCGATTTTGCGCATCCTATCAATGGAAGTAGCGCGAGGCAGCCGTGGGGTTGGCGGCTTACCTGTTGGCCGGTGCGCTGCTCATCCTATTGATGGAAAACTCTCTCTCACTCTCTCTCTCTCTCTCTCACACACACACACATATGCACACACACACACACGGGTGGCAGTGAATATTTCCATGTTATAGCAATAGATTCATTCAATTTTGCTCATCCTATCGATGGAAGTACCATGAGGTCAGCCGTGAAGTTGGGGACTTACCTGTTCTCTCTCTCTCTCACACACGCACACACACGTGCACACACACACATGTGGCAGTGTATATTTCCATGTTATAGCTGTAGATTCATTCGATTGTGCCCATCCTATCAATGGAAGTACCATGAGGTCAGCCACGAGATTGGAGACTTACCTGTTCTCTCTCTCTCTCTCTCTGTTACATGCTGCACTTGCAACATGCTGCACCTGAAACGAGGGCCATTTTCAGGCCCTGTGTTGTTTTCAGCCTAAAAGCCTGAAAACAAGGGCCTACAGGCCTTGTGTCGTTTTCAGCCTAAAAGCCTGAAAACAAGGGCCTACAGACCCTGTGTCGTTTCAGCGTGAAAGCCTGAAAACAAGGGCCTACAGGCCCTGTGTCGTTTCAGCCTAAAACAGGGCCCTCCAGGCCATGAGTGTTTTCAGCCTGAAACGGAGGGCCATTTTCAGGCCCTCATAAGATCGACCTGCCCTGAAGCTTAGGCACGAGAGCAGGGTTTTAGCACAGGCCATTTTGGGCCTGTTTTCAAGACAACCTGTGTTTGAGGTTCAACGCCAGGGTCTGGCACGTTTTGGCATTGGCAAGMGCAGCCTCCTGGACAGGCCAGCACTATATAAGACTGGCCCGCCCTGCAGGCTGCAGGTAGTTCATAGGGACTTCCCAGGCACTTCACGTGCAGTTCAGGAGGCAGGAGGTAGTCTTCAGGATTCGGCAGCGGCACTCTGGAGGAGTGCTGCAGTAGTAGTAGTAGCGTTAGCAGTAGTCTTCAGCGCTG